CCAGATCAGGCATGCAACCATCCCAAGCTAGGGCTCGCTGATCGGCAGCGAACATGTTCGGTTGCGAACGGTTTGGTGACCGAACATGTTCGGTTACGAACCGTTTGGTGACCGAACATGTTCGGTTACGAACCGTTTGGTGACCGAACATGTTCGGTTACGAACCGTTTGGTGACGGAACATGTTCGGTTACGAACCGTTTGGTGACCGAACATGTTCGGTGCCGATCAGCGATTCCTAGTTTGGGATTGTTGCATGCCTATAAACGAGCAGCGACAGTTGGTAAAGTTACATTATTAACTCAGACATTTGGACGAGGAACTGATTTTATATGTCGTAATCAACAACTCTTGTTAAATGGTGGTATTCATGTACTTTGAACATTCTTTTCCGAAGAATTATCTAAAGAGTATCAAATTATGGGTAAAGGAGCGCGACAAGGAGATCGTGGTTCATACAGATTGATTTTATTAGACAAAGATTTAGAATGGGTTCTCGGCTCTGATTGGAAAGAAGAACTTCCGAAAATAGTCGGTACTACTCTTTATAAGGTTTTGAATGATGCTCGTAACGCTCGATATGAAAGCAAGCGTGGTGCAAAACAGCTTGGTATAGAACAGTGCAAACATATGCATAATGCTTCTGAAGATTTTATGGATGCGTTATACAAAGGAAGCATGGAAACGGTTCGAAGGAGGAGAAAAGTATTTGTTGAAAGTCGCCTATTGACTCTAGTTTTGATTGTTAAAAAACCAGAGATCGTATAGAGTTATGCTGTTTTTGTTCTAAGTGAAAATTTTGCTGCTGTGTTAACTCAACATTTTGTTGATGAGCGTTACTCACTAAAGTCACAAGTATTAATCTATTCTGTTCTTCAGTTTTTCGATTGTATGTTACCATCTTATATGGAACACAATGCCCAAGTATATTCTCTATGGAACTATGGCTGATGTTCTATCTATTATAGCAAAGTATAATAAAAAATATTGTACAAAAACAAAATTATTTTACTAAATTTTACATCACCAATGGTAAAAATCAGCTATATTTCTGATAAATTATCACAAATTTGTAAAATATGCATTGCACCTCAGAAAAACAATCGATATAAGACAACCGGCAAACGTACAAAAATAAAAAAGGAAATGCAGTAGAGAAAAGAAATGTAGTTGATTAAATATTTTCTAGAAGATATTTCACAGTATTATTCATCATTATATGGGCTACTTTTAATCCTGTTGGACCGTAGAGAAAATTAAATGCACCTTGAAATACATGTTCATAATGATGATGTACAACTTTGACACCAACATTCTCTAGTCGCTTTGCATAGATAAAACTTTCATCCCGTAGTCTATCATGATCAACCGATACTATATAGGTAGGTGGTAACTTTTTTAAATGTTAATCATCAACGAGTAACGGTGCTATGTCTTTAGTAAGCGCTTGTTGTACTTTTTCATATAATTCTTCACTACCATAATTGGGTTCTACTAGATTTCTTCCATCACGTAAATTGGATGGGGTAAGAGACCAATCTACATATTTTTCAAATTGCTTTTTCACTTTAGGCGTTGTGTGATTATTGCCTAAGATATCGGAAGTGATTGTTTTATTTAAGTAAATGGATAGAACATCGACCATATTTCCATAGCGAAATATTTGAGCATTGTTTTTCATGTAAGATGGTAACATACAATCAAAAAACTGAAGAACAGGGTAGATTAATACTTGTGATTTTGGTGAATAACCCTCGTCAACAAAACATTGAGCTAACACAGCAGCGAAATTTCCACCTAAAAGAGAAATAGCACAAATTATTACTATCTCTGATTTTTTAACAATCAAAACTCTAATCAATAGTTTATTAAAAAATGTTCGTGACTTAATACAGAGTTCCAGGACATTTTAGTAAAATGGAAGACCTAGTGTTCAATTCACTTTTTATCTGCTGCATTTGAGATTAAAAGTTGTATGAATGATGAAGCTTACGAACTAGCTCCAAAAACCTGCTTAAAAATCACGTAAATCCTAAATTCCAAAAAACATATATCTCTTTTGTTTTTTAAACTTTGTCATTCGACGGAGCAGTGAAAATTACATTCATAGTGTAAATCTCGTATTGTTAAAATATTCTTTCAATTTCAATATTCAAATTCAATACATATTAGACAGAATCTTTTACGCAAACAGTCAAACGGAAGAAAGTCTACAACAAGTGTGATAATAAATTGAAGGAATATTTTTAAAAGATATGAAAACGTTACTTTGTCTGGAACTGAACTTGCAAGTGAATGTGGCAAATGTCTTAATACTGTAAAATTACCTGTTTCATTGTAACTCGTAAATAAAATAATAAATGTAACTTATAAAGCCATGTATCAATTTCTTACATTATCTTAATTAATTATATTAACATTGATTAGCATACAGCTGATAGAAAAAAATGAATAGTTATAAAAATGAGTAGAATGATAGAAAATAAACGGGACGAAACGAGAGGATACCCTAAAATGCTCGGATTATTTCTATGTAAGTTGGATCTTAATATTCCGAAAGTTCGTCGAAATCTGAGAGATTGATCGATCTCTCATGCAATCGTTCCAATGTGTTAAACTTTCTCGCTATGAAAATAAGCATATCAAAATTTGATGATTTTTTTCTGAAGAAACGGTATTTGGGATTTTTACATATTCGGAATCAGCGTGATGAGTTACGTTGTACGGCTCAAAGATCTCGTCGGGGTACACGCAAAAAATGGGGTCTTAGGAGTTCCACTTAGAATACCATTGTATTCAACGTTATAGTTCATCGTTCAACTTCAAACATACCGCATTTTATTCGTTCTGCTTCTATAATGTCATTTTTCTTTCTGTTTTTTTTTTTAACTTTTATACGCATATATACACAGAGAGATAGAAAGCAAGAAAGTGAAAAGTGAAAAACTTCTTCTTTTCATCAAAATATTCACTGCAATCACTATGAAATTACTCTATATTCTGTCAACTTTCCAGACTAAAAACTTAACAATATTTGTAAGTACCCCTCTCCAGTTATAGACAGACCAGCGTTTAGACACATTTTTATTTCAATAGAAACTTCATATTCACTTCATATAGTACACACAACTTTACATTTTTTTGCTAATATCTGGTTTTCAAAAGATCCTGCAGAAAATCTATTTGAAGACATATTTTTAAATTTGTCTCTGCTATGAAAAGGTGTCCTCAAGTCTGTTCTTTCGAATGTCTAAAACCGAAGCTCTCTAGTTCCTTTCTATGAAAAGTTATTGAAAAAATATTGACACTCATCTTATTTTAGGCGGACAATAATAACAATTTCTTTTTTATTACACATAAATTGGAAAATTCCAACGCAAGACGTGTTTTTACTCTTGTTTGCTTTCTTTTCTTTTTTTTTCTTTCTTCGTACTTTTATTCACTATACACGTACGCTATTAGTTTCTTTTGCTCCTTGACACTACTCACGTTTTTTCGTTACAAAGCCTTTCAATGTATTACTGTGATGACAGACTCACATTATTCTTTTCAAAAAAAGCCGGTTTTCTATTCCATCTTTTTTAGATTTTCTTTTTAAGTGATTTACATGGCTCCTTGGCACGACACTGTGAGCAAACATGCTTCATTATTTTTATCTCCACTTACATGTATTCTCTCACATTTACTTTGGTCAACATCGATATATTTCAATTTTTATAATTCATCAGGTACACCAGTTTGATTTTTTAACAGCTCTATTTCGAATTTGTTTTGTTTTATCTTTCAGTGTTAGCTCCCAAAACTGATACTTATTTTACAACTGATGACAATGAGAATACAACGACAAGTAGTTACAAGGTCAACATAAACGTAGAAATTCCTGATTCTGAGCGAGATGACGACAGTGGTGTGGGCTCTGGTAGATAAATCGAATTTTTTTCAAGTATTCACCATATGAATTGTCGTTCTATATTTAGATGACGGTAATGATTTTATCGAAGATGACGTTGGAGACGACATTAGTGAAGACAGAAAAGAACAACAGCATCCTGAAGATGTTAATACAATGGTTGTATCCAAAATTCCTGGTATGTTAGCATTTTCTTCCGATGTTATTGCTTTGCAGAAACTGTTCGTTTGCTTTATGAATAGAAATTACATCACACAACTTGAACTTCATTCATGAGCTTCCATTTGGAGAACAAGAAAGTGAGTAGTCTTATTCAGATAAAATTTGATTCAAGCCTTTCTTTATCATTTAGTCAAACGGTCATTTCCACCGTTACAAAATATTACCGTTAAATGGGATGACCAACAACCGTTCGAGTCAACGTCCTTTTCTGAATGTAAAAATACAACAGTACTAACTAATACATGAATACATGAATTTGTCATATTTTAGCTTCAAAATTTCTACTTCCAGACAAAAGCAATTTAGATCGAAAACAATCTCATCACATAATATCAGCTTCATCAAATCATTTGACAATTTCACCTAGTTCATCTAAAGGTGAGGCGTTGGCTGTGTGTAATAAAACGAACTCTAATTTAATTTCTTGTAGTTCAACTATCGGAAGAAACTAGCGAAATTTCTAATAATACACCACCTGAAGATTTACCCAAATCCCTGAACATCGAAACCACATCGACCAGGAATTTAAACGCATCTCAACCTGAACATAACGAAGAAAAAAAGTCAAACGTAACGGTTCATATCAGCGCTAACGGAGCTAGCTTAATACCAGGTACGTATCCACTTAATATACCCTTACTTTATTACAACTCTTTTGTTCTGTTTTATTTCATTGAGATCCTGATGAACTTCAAGTTAACTCAGGTAATGAGGAGAGTCCTCTAACGAAGTTACTATAATCAACTAATTTTTTCTGAATAATGGATTTTTTTATAGTTTCTGGTTCAGCCGAAGCAGCAGTATCAACTGGCAACTCCTTGCATGGCATGAGTACATCTAAACTGAAGAGATGATAGAAAATTAGACATTTCTTCTTTTCAGCTCCTCCATTATCTTCTGGTGATACTGAAAATCCAATATTACCTCAACAAAATATCAGTCTCAATTCTCACGGTATAATAACTATCAGTTATATTTTTGATCTTCAGTTCTCACTATTCTGTGATTTTTTATTCTCAAATTACCTCTACTATAGGTCTGTTACAACCTTTCAGTAGTATAACAAATGAACAAGTGCAGCCGTCGAGTACATTTCGACCTGGTAAGAAGCGTAGTGATATTTCAGAGTATTTTTGTTGAGTACGTTTTGCTTTATAGTATCGCCTACAAATAATCATCGTGATAATACAGTATCATCACATATTTTTCCGACACGTAAGCAATATTTATCCAACGAAATTAAACAAAACATCTTTTAGCCTCGTTTTAGCTGGAAGTATGCATGATTTTGCTTGGCTTATGTTATCAAATTATGGTCCAGCCTGTTATACTAATGGTAGTACAGTAACACGCCAACAACCAGTGGATGAGAGAGAACCAGGTAAGAATTGCCTCAACATGAAAATGACTCGATCTAGTTTGAAATTGATTTCTAGTTATTAATCGACCAATGGTAGACACCGAATTAAATCAATTGGGACCAATGCTCGATTGCACTGGTGACAAACCCTATAGAATGGCAAAAGAATTAGAATTGAGTGATATTAATATCAGTTCAATTAAAAATCATGTAGAATCGATAAGCAATTATGCAAAATTGCCGTTGACAATGACAGAAGTATTGCTATGTTGGCAACAAAAATTAGCAAGTAAAGCAACATGTCACAAACTGTTTTATGCACTAATTAAAGTTGACGAAGTGGAAGTAGCAAGACGTTTAAGAGATATGGTTGAAAAACAATTATCCTGTTAGATTTTGTCCTGAAAAGCTGTTTCATGTACAGATAAAATAATTGAATGCCTTCACTCTTTAATCATTAAAATAATAGTACTTTTATTCAAGCATTTGATAGATATATAAACTAACGGAGCAATGAAAAAGACAAAGAATGTCTCGTTTGATAGAAAATTTAATGTCAGTTAATACAAAACAGGCTACCTTAAAACTTTTCGGAATGGCTATTGTCACTTACAAAAGTGTCAACCAGAAGCTGTTGCCACGTTTGGAAGTGTCATTAAGAAGTTATTGCCACTTTGATGGTGCCATTGTTACTTTCAACAGAAAGTGTCAATGCTACTGCTTGGAATATTTCTATGAACCACACAGGCACACTGACAAAGCTGTTTGTGTATGAGTGGAAGGAGCAGGATAAGCAGTGTGAGGATGAGTTCGAAAATTACTTTCATACTTAAAGTGATTGAGTGAAGCAGTATAAAATCGGTAACACGACTTCAAATCGAGCAGAAATGAAACGCGTAATAATAAGTGGGTTCGGAAGTAGAGTCATATTTTATTTTGTGAGTGTTACAAAGGCGGCGGAGCATCATGAAACTAGGCGAGGCTCAGTATTTTCTCCTTCTCCCATCGAAGTTTTATAAAAGCATTAAGCACAATTAAGTCTTCTTTTTATTCAATTCAACGATGGATTTGATCAGATTAGATGGTATGCTAGAATAATATGCTAGAAAAAAAAGAAATAGATGTACCTATGATCGGACCTGAAAAGAAACGGATCTACATGGAAATCCCATCTGCCGGGTACTCTACACAAATTTTGAAAAAGAAACTGACGCAGTTTTGGGGAAAAGTTCGGCCAGATATCGATTTGTGATTTGTTTCAAATCCTGAACAGGCTATACAAACTTTCTTCTAACGAAAGATAAAATTCCAAAGTATCTCCAGTCAGATTTAGTCTATCTGGCCAAATATAAAAATTTGTGAGAATAGTTATGTGGGAAAAACAGAACGCCAGGGTCTTTGTGGACTCCAGGAACATGATGATCCTAAAGACTTGTTTCAACAAGATGGCCTCAGTATACTCTTTGATCAAAAATCTGAGGAAGACATGAAAAAAGATATTCTCGAGTCTAGAGATGGAACTGGTCCTATAATAAAGAAACGCTGAGCAGTTGTAACACTACTCTACAAATTCAAGACAATCATCCAGAATACGAGGTTAGCAGTCGCTGTTAACTACTCAAATAAACATTGTCTCAACAACTTACTAATCAAGCTTCTAACAAACTGTACAATTCATCTGATAGATCAGATAATGAACCAAGAAAACTTATATCCTCACTAGGACAATACGAGAAGGATAAGGATCATATAATAGACTGGTTGAACTTCGGCGTCATCTGCACTGCAAGTAATTCGTATCGCTTATTGATCAGAGAAAGCTTAGTTATAAAATCGGTTGAACCTACCTTGAACTGTACAACGCATTCGGTGCCTATGATAATATTTCCAGAAGGATTAACAAATCGTTGCTTGCTAACCCCCCTTCGGTTTTCGAATACTCATGGCATAAAAACATCAAACTAATGGCTGTGAAAAACGTTTCTTCTCTAGTCTATACAAATAGTTTTACACGTTCTATTTTAACAAATGCTTCTATGAAATATATATTGGAATTCCACTACGGAAGGATGTAAGGTTTAGAAATCCCAATGCATGCTTTATAGGTACTGTAAATATCTTGTAGCTTTTGTTATTCTCTTTCTGAAAAAAAGTTAACATGATGAATTCAAGAAAAACGAAATATATATGGC